TTATTTAAATGCTGTAGACTGGAATAAAATGTGCACGCGTGTCCAGTGTTATTAAAACACTAGTCGGGTTTTCGTTGTCCTGCCATTTTCAGCGGCGGCGTGGCCTTCTCATACACACACGTTGTAGTGACACTTTCTGATATATTATCCTGCCGGCCCTTTTCGTTCTGTTGGTCTTCTTGGTCCTGCTGGGCAGTGCCGGGTGTCGACAATCACCTCTACGTCGAAGGTCAAGCCGCGGAATTGGTTTCTTATTTTGGACGATGAATTTCCGATCCTTGGAACTAATAGAAAATTGTAGCTATATCAACATTGCTCACAGATACAACGCTAGGAACTGTGAATATTCAATCCTCTTGATTTTTATGAACAAAAAATTATAGGCAGTGCATGAGAAAGAAGTATTGTAGTGTAGCTTTTCAATAAAAGGTGAATGTGTTGCATATATATATATATATATATATATAGTATGTACATCCACCATAATTGCAAAACCGATTCAATTGTCTAATACTACAGCGAACGCAGAAAAGTTATAGCTTATATGGTATTATGGTCAGTGCATTGAGATAGTGTTTGTAGAGGCGCATTTAGGATATTTATAACTCCAATTCTAGACATTGATCTACACTCAAACTACCAACATGCATCTGCAAAATATAACTATTTTTGTCAACTATTTTGGAAACTCGCATGTCCCTGAAGATGGCGTTTAAAGCCAAATTTTTAATAAATATTTTAAGTTGACCGAATCCTAAGAATTTTAAGATGAATTGCTCTTAACCCTAAGAGTGCCTAGGAACCTGGGCATCGATCTTCCGCTCAGAGCTATATGCTATAGAACTGTATGCCAGAATGATCGCAGAACGACAACTGAGACACAGAACTATAATTATTAGTTCAAACAGTCAGCCACACTTAAAGCACTTGACTCCACCTGCTCGACATCGAAATTGCGTCACCACATGAGCGGGCTGGAAATGGCGAAAAACGCTGGGTGCAGACTGTGCACGGAGGAAGATGAAACGGTCAGGCATGTATTATGCAGATGCCCTGCAATTGCCACAATCAGGTACAACATAGCTGGAGACGTAGTACTCCAAGCAGAAGACCTGAAGGATATTCCTCCAAATAGGTGTGAGCCACAATAGACCAAAGGGCCGCAGTGGAGGATCGTTATTGATGCACTCACAAGAAACCTAACCTAAACTAACCTAAGGATTCCAAAAACTGCAAAGACAATTTGGCTTACCAGTGTGGTTGAAGCTCTCTGGAAATCATTTGTTGGATCAACCGTCGTATATATACACTGGTAATAGGAGGGCAGAATACCCTTCGTACTAAAACTTATGCTACATCATCCGGGTGGGATGCATCGCGAACAACTGAGGGGTTTTAGTAAGTGTGCTGTATTTCTGGCGTATTGCTTATTTCGGGCAGAAGAGGGCAATAGGGCGATACTGACTAGCCCTTTTGCCTGAAGTGGCTACTAAAGCTTTCCTTTGCCTAAACAAAAGGTATGTGTATGGAACAGGTTATGCAGAGCTGTGCTAGTTATCAACAGATTTAGTCGATATCGAACGATCTTGGACAAGCTGAGCCATAGTTTATGCAGCGCTAATTCGTAACAACAAGGTGCAACTGAACGTAACCATCAACTCAAATAGACTGTTAATTATATGTGTACTGTTATATTATCAGATCCGCTGTTGTACAGGGTGCGGCAGAGAGGACGGACGTTTTTGGGATGGGTAGTACTCTCCGCCTCCATCTACGAGAGATGTGAGGAGGGTGCCGTTTGACTCGTGAGATCCTAACATTATTTTACCAGTTGTCGTTATGGAGCTTTGGACGGTGGAGCACCGCGTCTTCGCCTATGATTGTTTCGTCCGAAATAATGAGTCAGTCATCGTCGTACAGCGTGAGTTTCGTCGCCACTTCAACATTAGCTGTTCCCTCTCGAAACACCATCCTTCGTTGGGTTGAATCACTTCGCAGGCGTGGTGAACTGATCAACAGAAGACCAAGAGGAGCGCCGCGAACAGTTCGAACTCCTGAAAATGCTGAACGCGCTCGACAGGTCTTCTTCGCAGTCCGACTCGATCTGCCCGGAAACATGCTGCTGCACTTCGCCTTAGTAATCGTTCGGTAAGGCGAATTTTGCATATGGATCTCCGCTTTCACCCCTACAAATTGGCCATTGTGCAACAGTTACAGCCCGGAGATTATGCACAACGAATGAACTTCGCACGTGAAATGGAAGCACTGATCGACCAAAATGAGAACCTCAAGGCTAGAGTATACGCGAACAAGCCCCGACTCTGGACGAATTGAAGGGCGAAATTCGCGTGGAAGTCGCCCAGGTTGAGAGAGCGCCTCCAGCACTGCATCAACGATTTCGGCCACCACATGCCTGATGTGATTTTCCACACTTGACTGTCTCAAATGCTATTTCCTTGTGAACCTGATTCCAATAATAAATTTGTTTTCGAGTAAAAATTAACTATTTTATGATTTTTTTAAAACCGTCCATCCTCTCTGCCGCACCCTGTATAACACATCGATTAAATCAGATTCATGGACTAAAAGTACGTTACATGCCTAAGTTAAGAAGTTTATCACAATCGGTCGATCACATCCATAGTACACGTTTCTAAACCATACTGTGTGTACTATCATTTCTAAAATCCTTTCGGCAATCTGCTAACAGAAACCAGCACTCCGGCTTGGAACATTATTTCCTACAAAGGATGACTCTTTGACTACGACTAGCATGTATCACGTGTGCTGTATAACAACTATTCGTTGTCTATGACCATGTTTACACCGATACATCACCAAGAATCGATAATTCATATTGTCCTGTGCGGAAATGCTGCTCTGTAACCGTTTCATGCGGCGTGCTATACCTAGCGTGTTGCCTTTTTTCCTTCATAACTAGTAGTTGTAGGTGACTGTGGCTATGCGCTATATACAGGGTGACTTTGAAGTTGAGTCATTAATTTTCAGATAATGATTGTAGAAGGAAGATAAACCAAAATATGTGTAAAAATAAAAAGAAAATTTACCTTGTATTTCAGTGCGGACCTGTATTTGATCGTGAGCTCTTGGAGCACCGGCATGTCGTCCCCTGTGAGGTCTTAAGTCACCTGATTCACGAGCCCTTTGTACTACATTAACAAAGGCACGAGGGGTAGGTTGCACTCGATTGGGAAACCGATCCGCATAAATCCGTGATGCCGCGGCAGCATTTTGTAAAGACTCCCCCCCGTAAATAAGAATCATGTCCACAAGTTCAGCATTTTCGTAAACATGTGCCAACAAACACCACTATTCACTCACGCGTTACCGACTGACACATTGACTGAATACAACTGAATAAAATTGTAGTAAAAACATCGTGATAAGCGTTTCAAATTCTTTCGCTTTTTTGTTTCCGATGCGATGAACCGATAACGCGGATTATATCCGTTGTTGTCAAACACCAGCACATAATATTATTATTGAGACAGGGTGGTACTCAAACTTCTAAAGGACTATAACTTTGTTACTTTAATTTTACCAGAAAAATGTTAAAGATCTACTCACTGTTAAAATAAATGACTCAACTTCGAAGTCACCCTGTACAAGCTCTTGTTTAGCCACAGTGTAAACATGGCATCTGTTTTGTTGATAACAGTGAGGAGATGACGTCAACAGAACTATAGGTCTTTTTACGCCGAAAAACTTAAATTGCTAGAAGCCTTTCCATCAAATAGAAAGTTTTACACCTACGCTATTCTCTAAGTATATAGAAAGAGGCCCGTGAGTGTTAGATTGAAAATGAATGTTGATACACTCAAGCTTGTGAGGAGTGCCAAATACCGTTGTGACATGTTGTAACTCAGATCTTTCTAACGAAGTTGTTCAATGCGGTTGCGACTTGAAAATCTTTCTTACGGAAATTACAGCAAGGACAAATGATGGTAAATTTCACTCCTAATAAAACGTGAAACAGTCTTATGGGCAAACTAGAAGTAATAGGTTTTGTGTACAAGAATTCTGGTATTACGAGTGCATATATAGCTTATACCAAACAAAATAGATCATCCTACAAATCGTTCTACAACACAGCACATTCGGGTCGGAGTTCCGCAGGGATCGGTCTTAGGACCACTCCTATACTCGATTTTCATTCACGACGTCTACCTCTATGCTGTCATTTTCTAGTGATATAGTATATGACAGGCTGCAGGAGGTGGTGGACAAGGTTTTAGAGTGGGCGAATCGGTGGACAATCAAAATTAATTTTTCAAAGAGACAGACCATCCATTTTACGAAGAAGCACCGTGGTGGAGATTATTGTGGATGACGTTTCAATACGTCCAAATATTTTGGTCTTACACTAGATAAGGGTAAGCCTTGGCAGGCGCACGTTGAACAACTGAAAATTAAATTCCAAATTACGTTTTGGCAACTGTATAGTCTTTTATGTATACCCTCAATATTGAGTTTGGTCAATAAAATTCGGATGTACAAGACTATCATCAGATCTGTAATAACCTACGCATGTGCGGCTTGGTGCTTGAACAATAACTAATGCCCCTTGGTACCTAACAAGCAATACCATCTATAGAGATGATGGCATCCCCAACCTTAGGGATTACATCATAGGTATAGCATAAACGGCGCTAATGTTAAGCGGAGTTGTACAGAAAAAATATATTTTGAAAACCTAGCACAAAAAATTTAGTTTATGACAAGTCAAAATTTATATAGCACAATGCAACACCCCCAAGATCTATCTCACCTCACCTATTCACATAAGATAATTACTTTTCTTTCTCTTCTCTCGTATATGGTTTCTGAGCCACCAGTGCTGACAGGCACTGACACTACAGTGACCTTGAGGTCCTTCGGGTCGCCTTGAGAAGCAAGAACGAGTAGTATCCTATCAATCGTAAGATCCTTCAATGACAACCCTGTTACCTACGCCACTCAATTGTTTCCGCACCCCAAACCCAGCCTTCTAGTTCCGTGCTCATCGAAGCGTATAGTCCTGCGGTCCTCATCCTGACGGACGCTTCAGCCACATCCGGGCAGTGTCCAATGTCCTTGGTGCGCCAGACAACACAACGTCCACCAACACACAAATTCACGTCATCACATTTGCCATCCGACATCATCTTTACGCTTGGCTTGCTGGCATATTCGATTAGCAAAGAAGCAACAGCGTGACTACGATAGGAGCTGAAAAGCCAGAGCCAGGGGCAAATATTGCCACTGAATGGGACAAAGTAATAGAAGTATTTATTGAAGATCATAACTTTGATGTGTAGTAAAACAGAGACATCGTTAAGAAAGGCTGTAAATATACAGATATGATTGTGTTATTACTGATTTCAGGCAAGCACGACGTCTAATTCAAAAGAAAATGTCATCAAACAACTGAAACTTATGTCATATTGCGGTTTCTAAAGTCCAATTGTTATTTTTGTAATATGATACCTTGTGTGGCTTGCTGAGTTAACCTACTTTGAGTTTTCGATGCTGGTTATGAGGTGGCTGTCGCCTTTCTAATTCTACAGAACGCTTTCCGGTTCATGGATATCATATATACTAAGTGACATACAAATCCGAACACCCAGTTTAAATGGTTTTATTTTAATAAAAGTTGGTGAATGTATTTATCTTACTGTAAATAACAAGTGAAAAAATGTTCAGCCTTATCAGTTGGACATTCCGGTTTCTATACTGCTTTTTTTTAATTCACTAACGCTCTAAAAATGAATATTTCAGCCGCAGTAAAGAATCAACGTTGGCGGATTTTGGTTCTTGACATCCTTTACGATCGGTTACGATGCCTAGAGTACGGAGACCTGTACGATTCGTCAACTTAGTGAGTTTGATAGGGGCCGTATAGTGGGACTTCGGGAAGCTGGACTTTGTTTTCGGGCAATTGCCGTTTAGAGTGCAAAGAAGTGTAGACCCTGTGGTTAGGTGTTGTCAGGCATGGCTTCGAGAAGGCCGTACGCAAAGAGCAAGGGGCACTGGACGCCGCCGTAGAACAACAGACCATGAAGATCGCCGTCTAAGATTATTGGCCTTAAGGGACCGTTTCTCCACTACCAGGTCCATTGCAAATGAATGGTTTGCAGAACACGGAAGACCTATTGGCATGCGAAGTGTTTACCGACGAATGAGAAGTTTTGGCTTGTTTTCATACCGGCCACACTGGGTCCTCCCTTTAACTCGAGAACACCGACGTAATCGCCTTGAGTGGTGCAGACAACGGTTCTTCTGGGATCAGGAATGGAACAGCATTGTCTTTAGTGACGAGTCTCGATTTTGTTTAGGCATGCACGATGGTCGTGCCAGGGTTAAAAGGCGACGTGGTGAAAGGAGGAATCCACAGTTTTTTGTTGAAAGACATGTTCATCACACTGTTGGAGTTATGGTTTGGGGTGCTATAGCTTATGGTTCCAGGTCACCTTTAATCTTCATCAGAGGGTAACATGAACGCGCAGCGTTATATCCACGAAGTTCTAGAACCCCATCTTTTACCCTATCTTGACACCCTGGCAGATCTAACTTTCCAACAAGATAATGCCCGACCACATGTTGCGAGTGGGATATGATGGGTAGGAGATTGCTCAATTTGCAACGTCCTCCTCAGACTCTAGAAGCACTTCGAGAGGAGTTGGTGGTTGCCTGGAATTATATACCACAGGAGGACATTGACCACCTGATCAGAAGCATGCCTAGGCGCGTTGGAGAATGCGTAGCACATCAGGGTGCATCCACACATTATTAAAGGTCAAAGGGCTTTAAAGCAGAGCAATCATTTTGAAATTTTTATCATTTACTTATTATGCTTCATTAAGTACTTATACAAAATTTTATTAAAATAAAAGCATTTAAACTGGGTGTTCGGATTTATATGTCACTTAGTATAGATCTAGCATAATGTAATCAGTGAGTATACGCATTCCCGTTGTCTTGGACACAAACAGCTAAATGCGATCAACTCCGTCATGTTTCCTCCATCACATATTTTTTCAAAGGTCTCCTACATGCCTCGTACCCACAAACCATGTTAGCGAAATGTTAATTGCAATGGTTTAGAAATAACAGAAAACGGCTAGTATTGTGCAGTCTGGGACCATTAAAAGATTCGGTTTTGCTACATTCGGTCCATTATCGGACCTTTTTCCACAAATTCGTTTACTATACAGCAGCAATGGAGTAGTGGTAGACGTTATGGGTCTCCTAATAGTCGCCGTGCGCTGCGCGGGTTCGAGTCCCGTCCAAGCGATTTTTTTCCCTTGACTATGGATGTTGCGACTGTCCGCATGTAGTACATAGTTTCTATCTGTGGGGGTACCACCCGGAGGACCTCTAGGGCGGGAGTCCCCCCTTTCCTTATATCCAGTATCCATCGCTATTTACGCTTAGGCTCTTGAGGTGATTCAAGTATATATGCTAAAGAAAATTTTGTTCCTATAGAGTTATAGACTATCAGAGTTCAGACCGATCTGGATTGGTTTCCATTGTTGCCAGATATATCTCATACTGGCGAGGTTAACCCCACCATGTACTATACCGTATTAGAGTATATCTTTATACAAAATCTCGATTTGTTGCTGATGTCCATTTCATATTTACAGTATTGATACTAATGATGAAAATATGTTCCACATCAACTCTGTTTCATAATAACCATGATAGATCAGTAATTATAAAAATATCATCACAGATACTTTTTGCCCTATATGAAAACTGATTCTGTATTTTTAGACAGACGATTTTTTGGTAACCGTCGGTCATCTCCTTCAGTACGGTATTCGTGTAGCTTTTTTGATGTATCTTACTATTATAAATATTTTTCGTAAAGTTTACAGTAATTTCATGGATCAGCCATCATAGCAGTTTAAACTGAAACCACATTGTAGTACTGGCTTTTTGCATTTTCTGTTTGTGAAAGCAGACAAGTATCGTGAATTTCGCGTTTTTGCAAAGAAGGCATACGATCTGCATAAGTATAATTTATACTTAGCACTTCCAATATTAATTCCCTCCGCTATGATATCCAGCAGTTTTGATTTTGATTGTCTTCTTTTGTAATATCCTTCCAAAAGCAGCGCAGAAACCTATATACAGGGTGTAAACGTTAAGATAGTCATTATTCAAATGGATGATAGAAGGGGTTAAAAGAAGCAAAAAGTTTCGTATAACATGGGGGTCAAAACGAATTTTTTTAGAGAAAAGCGACTTTAAAGTAAAATAAAATCTGGTAACGCCGCAATGCCAGCGGCAAATTACGACGGAACGCAGTGTAAATAAAGATCGAGCTTGTTATTTTTGGCTCTTAGGTATTATTTCATTATTTGATAGTGTACTCGTAAATAATAATAATAATAATGCGTTTATTGCCCAACAGTGATCACCATTTACAGAGCAAAAAGCAGTAGTATAGCTTACAGCACAAAATGTAAAACAGAAAAAAACAGAAACAAAAGGAACATGAAAAACTTGACCAAAATCGATCATAGATGAGCGCGAGATTTATTCTTTAATTCACAGACACTACAGTGAAAAATATCACATGCACTTGAAATTTTGTTGGCATTTCGGCACATAAAATTGATTGGAGCCTTTAGTAGTAAGTTAGTTTGAGCTCTTTTGCACAGGAAAGTCTAGATGTGATTCTAGGAACCAGTATATCTACTTGAGCTAACAATACAGGACAATCTACTTTTCCATGGAAAAGCTTGTGCAAGAAAAGTACAGATAACTGATATCTACGGCTCTCTAAAGACTGATAATCAAATCTATGTAGCAGCTCAGGATAACTACAGCCTCTTGGTGGATACACACCATCGATTTTAAAAGCTATGAATTTCAAAAATTTATTTTGTACTTTTTCAATAGCAACGATATATTGACTATATGTAGGACTACATATGAGTGAGCCATATTCCAGTTTAGATCTTACTAGACTGACATACAGAGACGATAATGCTGAGGTGTAATTGAAATTCTTGCAATTCCTAACAATAAAGCCGTATCTGCGACAAGCACTCAGCGCTGTTTGGCTTACATGAAAATTAAATGTCAACTGACTATCAAAATTGTCACCTAAATCTCTAATGCAATCGGTTCTTGCTAGTGTCGAATTCTCAATAGTATACCGATAAGATATAGGCTTGGACTTGCGACTAAATGTTACTACTTTGCATTTAGAAATGTTCAAATGCAGATGATTTCTTACACACCAGTTCTGTAGGAAAGTAATTTGTACCTGTAAGATGATACAGTCTTCTTCACTGGATACTGATATATATTTTCAAATCATCCGCAAACAATAGCTTATTGCAATTAAGTGAAAATGCAAACAACTAAAAGAAACGGACTTACCACTAACTGTCTCAGCACTTCACCTGGTGTGTGAAAGTTTATTGAACGTATTAAAAAAATCCACTTATAAATAGGGAACACAATTTTGATACATACATTATTTTTCTTTTTAAAACCCACACTGCACCTTTTTAGTGTTTAAAGAAGGTGTTCAAAATGTCGCCCTCCACTTTCCACACAAGCGTCATTACGACGAACCCAGCTTCTTTTTACTCCAGGCCCTAGAAGCTGTCCATTTATTATTTCAGCCACATTAATTTTTTTTTAGCGAAGTTGTGCTTCAGTTGTTATTGGACCAGCCCCTCAAACCATCCCTTTAAGTGCTCCCCAATACCAGAAATCCATCGGATTGAGGTCAGGAGATCTTGCTGGCTATTTTCGAGGATCAGGAGTATTTCGACCGATCCAGCGATTTGGATAATGTTCATTCAAATACTGAATGACGCCTCTAAAAATGTGTGGTGGTGCCCCGACATGAAGAAACCACAAATTCTGTCTCCGTGGCATATTGTCTAAGGTCTGTTCCAAAAGTTCTGGTAGGTTATTGGGTAGAAAGCTAAGGTATCCTTCTCCTGACAACTTTGGGGGTAACTCGAAAGGGCCAATTACCTGATCGTCAAGAATACCCGCCCAAATATTTTTTTTAAACTTTGTTGGAAATGCTCTTCGCGAATGGTATGAGGATTTTCTTGGGCCCACGTGTGAGTATTATGGAAATTTAATATCTCGTCTCGAGTAAAAGTACATTCGTCTGTCGCTAGTATGTGTT